GGTGCTTTAGCCAAAATTCATAGTCCCTGAGTTCGAGAAATTCGATGGAAATAGTTGCCCCTCATCCCATATCACTATGTTCTATCGAAAAATGACAAGATGTGTGGGGAAATGATCAACTCCTGATTCATTGCTTCCAGGAGAGCATGTCCAGTTCAGCTATCTAGTAGTACAATCAGCTGAATTGATCTCATATCAAGACCTGGAAAGATCTGGCTAAGTTTTTCCTGGAACAGTACAAACACATTAACGATATGAGACCAGACCGAGTTATGGTACAAAGCCTGGAGAAAAAATATAACGAAAGTTTCCGACAGTACGCACAGAGATGGAGGGATTTGACTGTGTAAGTTCATCCACCCTTGGATGAAAAGGAAACTAAGAAGCTTTTTGTACAGACCTTAAAGGCTCCTTACTTCGGGCACCTGGTCGTAATCATATCAGGAAGCTTTTTTAGACTTAGTTATAGCCGGAGAGATGATTGATCTGGCCATAAAACAAGGAAAAATAGATGGAGGACAATCTAGCAAGAAGCCTCCCATGAAGAACAAAGATAGAGAGATCAATAACGTCAACACCTACAATGCCAACAAAGGTGTTACGTTCTCAAGCACAAAAACAACTGCAGTTGTACCGTCAGGTACTTCTAAACAAAATCAGAGGGAACCTAAGAAATAAAGAGAGAAGGAGCAATTCGATCCTATTCCCATGTCATACAAAGAACTATACCAATAGCTTTTTGACACTCATGTGGTATCACCTTACCCTATGGAGCCAATGAAGCCCCCTTACCCCAGATGGTATGACGAGAATGCTCACTACGAATACCATGGTTGTTTGTAGGAGCACACGATCGAAAATTACCTCGTATTCAAGAGGCTTGTACAACGAATGCGTAACAAGAATTGGATCCACTTTAGCTCTGGAGCACCGAACGTTCCATAAAATCCCATGCCTAATCATTAGGAGACCGGGATTAACATAGTCACTACCGAGAAGGGAAGGAGAATCAAAACTAGTGTTTCGGAGGTAAAATCTCCTTTGGATTGGATATGAAGCCAAATGGTAAAGACATGGCTTCTCACACCACAGTTAGATACAACAAGGAATGGAGATGGTAACCACTGTTGTTACCACAATGAAGAGGGGCATGAGATGCAGGATTGCCCAGAATTCAAAGCCTTAGTCCAGCTCATGATGGATAGGAAGGAGCTGGAGTTTTATGAAGAATTTCAAGATTCTCTGGTAGCCCTTTGATAATTACCCCTAAAACAAAGAAAGCAGTAACGACACAAGCAAATGTGGTGATCACAATAACCCAATCTTTTCACTACAAGGACAATCGACAAGTGGCATGGAAGTATAAATGTCAGGTGAGCACTTCAAGAGAAGATGATAACAAAGTGGAGTAGATACCACTTGAACCTTTCAAAGAATATGTACTGGCTATCAATGAGCCCATAAAAGAGGAAGAAGCTAGAAAATTTCTCAAATTCTTGAATCACAACGAATATAGCATCGTAGAACAACTACACAACCTACCAACACGAGCTTCAATGTTGGCACTATTGTTGAACTCGTAGACACACTGAGAGGCACTGTTGAAGGTCCTAAATCAGACATTCGTGCCACAAAACATACCAGTCAGCAATATAGATCAATTGGTAAACAACATTCAAGCTGATAATCTTATCTCATTTTCAGATGATGAGATTCCATCTAGAGGGAGAGGTCGAACTAAGGCATTACATATCACCACCCACTGTAAGGGGCACACTTTACCAAATATTTTTATCGACAATGTGTCAACCCTTAACGTAATGCCTTTAGTCACATTGAAGAGGCTGCCAATGGATACCTCTCACATGAGAACCTACCAAAGTGTGGTCCGAGCATTTCATGGGACCAAAATAGAGGTAGTTGGCAAGATTGAGGTGCCATTAACCATCGGACCTACCACCTATAATATTGAGTTCTTAGTAATGGACATCATGCCTTCCTACAACTGTCTTTTGGGAAGGTCTTGGATTCATCAAGTTGGTACATTACCATCCACGCTGCATCAAAAAGTCAAATTTGTCATTGATGGGGCCTTGGTGATTATTAATGTCGAAGAGGATATCTTGGTGAGTGTGACCACGGATGCCCCGTACGTTAAAGTAGACGAAGATGCGGTAGAATGTTTATTCCGCTCCTTAGAATTTGTGAATGCCACATTTGTGGCAGAAAGAAGGAGGATTCCTAAACCCCGGTTTTCTAAGTGTACTAGAATGGAGATCTGACAGACTTTGGGAAGGATAAGTCCATTCCTTCCTATATCAAAACTCGATCAGTTTAGGCTTGGTTTTCAGCCCACTCACCAAGAAAAGAGGAAGAAAATTCAGAAAAACCGAGAAAGAATGATAGCTAGGTTAACTGGAAGAGAATTCCAATGGGAACCCATGATATTCCCGCCTCTTTACAACACATTCAAGTCATGTGGTTATATGTTCGAGACCACCTCATTAGATTTAGAAGCGGCTCTGAAATATTTGAGCATCAATTTCGTAACCACAGGAAATGCTCAAGACACTGACAGATCAGGAATCTGCCCACTGCCACCTAGGTCTGTGCTTAGCAATTGGTCGGCGGAAGAACTGCCGATGATTTACAAATGTCTTTTAGAGTAATATTTGAACTATCCCTATTTTCCTATACCCAAGCCAATAGGCGATCTTTTGTAAGGGTGAATAAACGTATTGTTTAAATTCAATAAAAGATGCAATTTCTTTCATGGCAAATAAGTTTTCTTATTTCATCTCTTTTGAATTCATTTTCTCTATTTTCTTCATTTCAGTACTTCATTTCATTCTCTTTCGAACTTAATTTTTCAACTGTTCCGTGTGGGATATTTTCCTCTCACGCATACACATTTTCTTTTTCTTTCAGGTCCCCAAATAACGATAATGCAGGCACTGATGATCCTGATCTGGAGGTGGATTTTGAATCGGCCATTTGTCTCAGGGAATTTGATGAATACGACAATGAAGAGGAGTGCAACTTACCTACCGAATTGTTGAGAATGGTAGAAAGAGAAGACAAACAAATACTGCCACATGAGGAGAATATCAAAATCTTGAATCTGGGCACAGAAGAGGAGAGAAATGAGGTTAAAATCGGTACAACTCTTTTACCTGAAGTAAGATAAAACTTGATAGTCTTACTTCAAGAATACAGAGATGTGTTCGCATGGTCGTATCAAGACATGTCGGGACTAGACACTGATATGATAGTCCATAAATTGCCTATCAAACCAGAATACAAACTCGTGCAACAAAAGCTAAGGAGAATGCGACCTGAGATGCTCCTTAAGATTAAAGAAGAAGTCAAGAAGCAATTCAATGTTGGTTTCCTCCAAGTGGCCAAGTATCCGGAGTGGGTGGCCAACATAGTGCCGGTTCCGAAGAAAGACGGGAAAGTGTGCATATGTGTTGATTACCGAGACCTTAACAAGGCAAGTCCCAAAGACAAATTTCCTCTGCCATACATTGACACATTGGTAGATAATACAGTCGGGAATGTTTTCTTTTCATTCATGGACAGATTCTCAGGATATAACCAGATTAAGATGCATCATGAAGACATAGAGAAGATCACGTTCGTCACAATGTGAGGAACTTTCTACTACAAAGTGATATCATTCGGATTGAAGAATGATGGGGTAACATATCAGAGAGTTATTATGACCCTGTTTCACAACATGATACATAAAGAAATTAAGGTTTATGTTGATGACATGATTGTCAAGGCACAAACCGAGAGTGAACATGTCGAGAATCTAAGAAAGCTCTTCCAAAGATTAAGAAAGTTCCAGCTGAGGCTGAACCCTAGAAAGTGTACCTTCGGAGTAATATCGGGGAAACTGTTAGGCTTCGTGGTTAGTAGGAAAGGCATTGAAGTCGATCCCGATAAGGTTAAGACTATCAAGAATCTACTCCCCGTAATTAGAGAAAGAAGTTCGAGGTTTTCTAGGCAGATTGAACTACACAACATGGTTCATATCTTAGTTAACTGACAAATGTGATCCAATCTTTCGCCTTCTATAAAAGAACAACCTTAGAGCATGGGATGAGAACTGTCAAATTGCATTTGAGAAAATAAAGGAGTATTTGTCTTACACTCCTATCTTGATGTCCCCTATTCCGGGAAAACCTATGTTCTTGTATATATCCATATTCGAGAACTCAATGGGGTGTGTCTTGGGTCAACATGATGAGTTCGAAAGGAATGAAGAAAAGGTTCATCTACTACTTGAGCAAGAAGTTCATCGATTGTGTATATCCTCCTATCGAAAAGGTTTGTTGTGCCTTAGTTTGGGCTACACGAAGACTCAAACAATACATGATGTATCATACCACTTGGTTGATTTCCAAGTTAAACCCTCTAAAGTACATGATGGGTGTACATATTATCTCTAGAAGATTAGCCCGATGGCAGATGTTGTTGTCTGAATTTGACATCGAGTATGTGAGCCAGAAAGCCATAAAAGGAAGTGTCATATCAGATTTCTTGGAAAGCAGAACAGATGAAAATTACGAGCTGCTGGACTTTGACTTCCCAGATGAAGACTTAATGACAATATCCTTAGAAGAAGCAAGTATTCAACAGACAGTTTCTGAAGAATGCATTTTGATGGTGCATCAAATGCATTAGGACATGGTATTGGGGTAATCCTGGTCTCCCCATAATGGAATCATTACCCATTCACTAGCAGATTGAATTTCGATTGCACCAACAACATGACAGAATATGAGGCTTGTGTTTTGGGGATTCGAGCTGCGCTGGGGTAAAATATAAAGACCTTGCGGGTATATGAAGATTCAACCTTAGTAATCTATCAGTTCCGTGGAGAATGTGAAACCAATGATGTAAAGCTGGTAGAGTATCGGAAGCTAATACTAGATTTTTTTGAAGAATTCGATGAAGTCACCTTCCACTATGTGCATAGGGAAGAAAATCAAATGGCTGATATTTTAGCTACCTTGGCATCCACATTTAAGGCTGGCAGGAAGTTTGAAATAATGCCAATTGACATGCAGTCGTATGAGTACCCGGCTCATTGTTACCAGATCGAGGAGGTGAAAGACACTAAGCTCTGGTACCATAACATTCTACAATATATCAAGAATCGAAGTTATCCAGAGGAAGCCATCGAAACTGACAAAAGAACCATTAGACGGATGACAGCTGGATACATCCTTGATGGGGAGGTCTTGTACAAGAAAAGCCATGATCAAATCCTATTAAGGTGTGTAGATGCAGAAGAGGCTAAGATGATAGTGGAAGAAGTACATGACAGAGTTTTTGGAACGTACGCAAATGGACATATGATGTCAAGATAAATAATGAGATACGGATATTTTTGGTCCACACTGGAAAGTGACTGCATTAATTATGCTAAAAGGTGTCATAAATATCAAATCTACGGAGATAAAATAATGTTCCACCACATCCACTTCATGTGATGACGTCACCATGACCTTTCTCTATGTGAGGCATGGATGTTATCAGGCAAATCCATCCGAAGGCTTCAAATGGTCATCGGTTCATCCTTGGGGAAATTGATTATTTCACGAAATGGGTAGAGGCTGCATCATATGCCAGTGTCACTCAGTCACTATTTACAAGTTTTTAAAGAATGAGATCATATGTTGGTATGATTTACTTGAAAGGATCATTATCGATAACGCTACAAACTTAAAAAACAAAATGATGGATGGTTCTTGTGAGCAATTTAACATCAAGCATCATAACTCTACTGCTTATAGACCAAAGGTGAATAGAGCAGTAGAAGTATCAAATAAAATCATTAAGAAGATAGTGGAGAAGACAACTGAGACCTATAAAGATTGACACGAGAAGTTACCTTTTGTTTTGTTTGCCTACCGAACCTCGGTACGAACATCGACTGGGGTAACCCCATTTTCATTAGCATATGGAATGGAAGCAGTGCTGCCCATTGAGGTGGAAATCCCATCACTCCAGGTCTTGTCATAAGTCAAACTACATGATGTAGAATGGATACAATCCCGATATGTTCAGCTCAATCTAATAGAGGAAAAGAGATTGAAAGTCATTCATCATGGTCAAATCTATCAGAAACGAATGATTCGAGCACATGAAAAGAAGGTGAGCCCGAGAGTATTCTGTGAAGGAGATCTCATGCTTAAAAGAATTTGGCCAATTCAAAAAGACTTCATAGGAAAATGGATACCAAATTGGGAGGGACCTTATGTCGTGAAAAAGGCCTTCTCTAGAGGCGCACTTGTCCTGGCTGAAATGGACAGACCGAAATTGCCAAATCTCGTCAATTCGGATGCAGTCACAAAATACTTCATTTAGGATGAAAACTCGAGAGGGCGTCTTATGTCAAAAAAGAAAAAGAAAAAGAAAAAACCTTTAGGGTAAAAACCCTAAAGGGGACCCTAAATAAAAAAAAGAGAAAAAGAAAAGAAAAAGAAATAAGGAAATAGAAAAGAAATAAGGTAGGTTCAAGATAAAAACTCGCAAAGGGCGTCTTGGAACCAAGGATGAGTCCAAATTAAAAACCTGAAAGGGCGATTTGGATATTGATTCAAGAAAGGTCCTTAATCTAGATAGTGAAACATCCCGACATCCGAATCTTCTACAAACTTAACGAGTCAGAGAAAAGTTGCACTCTCCTTAACGTCGTCGCATCTTCGAAGATCCCTTGGCAAATGTTGTATTCAAAGTCAACCAACGGCATATCAGTTCAGGAGTGCCCACATTATTGAGATCTAAGACATCCATTCACACTTCATTTATGTATTCATTTTCCAAAATGTTTGTCATGTATTGTTTGTTCTTTTTTTCCTTATGAATAAAGATGATCATTTCTCTAAATCAATTATTTTCAAGCATCTTGGGTTGAATTTAAACCTAAAAATTTATTCACTTCTGAAAAAGATAATTGCATATTACTATACAAAGATTTTTAAAAAGTACAGGTACTCGGAAGCCGATCAAGGCTCATGCACAAACTTGAGATGGTTGAGAAGAATTTCCTAAATCAAGAATAAAATATAGAATATGCATATCAGATTTAAACATTCAAAGAGTTCAAGATCGAGAATCAGAAATTTAAGATTCCAGAATCAAGAGTCACCAAGACAGGAAACCGGAGATCGAGATTTCTCTCTAGAGCCCAAAATAATATATTTCACATATGCATTTTAGGCACATATAAGAGTATTGCATCCATAGCATCGCATATGTGTATAATTTTGCAGATTCATACTAGAGTCAATTTCAACTTCACAGCGAAGCATATTAGACTCGAAGCGACACAATTTATACAAGATTGAATTTTAACTTCACAACGAAGGATATCCAACTCAAAGCCAAACAATATTCAATATTGGATTTCAACTTCACAACGAAGGATGTCCAACGCAAAGTCAAAACAATACTTGTATTTCAACTTCACAACGAAGGATATCCAACTCAAAGCTCAACTTTACAACGAATGAGCCATCCACAATTTCAACTTCACGACGAAAGATATCGTGCTCAATGGATCGACTTAAAGTCATTTGCAACAACAGGGATTTATTCCCCAGTCAAGTACATTATAACTCAAGGGCAAGAAGGGTTATCTGTCAACAAACACTATCGAGTTCGATACCATTTAGCTCGAGGACGTATTCACCGCAAGGTAGCAACAAAGAACTACTTTTCGGTCAAAATTTTCATACCAAGGACTTTAAGTCGAGGAAAGGACCAAGGTTAAGAATGGCAACAATAAGCCACTTTTCCATTTTCCTACGATTTCTACTTCACAAAGAAGGATATCGTACCCAAAAGATTGACCCAACTTCACGACGAATGAGTCATCTGTAACACAGCAACACCAAAGTCTTTAGGTCAAGTTTCAGCTTCACGATAAAGCGTCTTAGGCTAGAAGACGATCCCGGAGCTACTTTCCAATGCTCTGAGTTAGGTTTCAACTTCGCGACGAATGATATCACGCTCAGAATTTTCTAGTTCAACTTAACCTCACGACGAGGGAGTCATTTCATGATTCAATGGGTTATGACAAATCCATCAAGACATCGGATTTCAACTCTACGACAGAGGACATTCGATGTGGATGAAATTTATGTCTTTTAAATCTTTTCCCTATTTTTGTTACACGATAATGAGGAAAGAGGGGCAGCTGTTGACACGTCATTTCGTCCCGATTTGTGTGATTTATGTATCGCATGTGTTACATATTTATATCACTATATATATAATATTTATATATATTATATTCAACATATATATATATATATATATATATATTATTCATTTCATTTACATGTTTCAGGCCCGAATAAAAAATCAATCGTGGCCCAACAGAGCACCCAGACCCAAGCCCAATGCGCGACCCGACTGGAGCAACCTAGAAGCCCAGTAGTGGACCCAAAGTAGCTACCCAACAGTAGCCCGAACCGGTCTAGACCTGAACCGGTCTAGACTTGAATCAGCTAGGGTTTGAAACCCTAACTTTCCTCTCATCCTTCTCAGCACCGCAAGCCCCAATTGCTCAGTCAACAAGGCTCCGACTTTCTCGGCGTTCTCTCGACATGCAACAACAAAGATAGTATTTGAGTTGAATTAGAACTCTAAACCTACTCAAAATAGGGGGTACACCATGCTATTTAAACGATGTAAGATCACACGATTTTGGACACGAAATACTAGAAAAAATACATACAAAAATCTCATATGGAAATCGACAAGAAGAAATATGAGCATTTGTACTTTTTGAAACGAAAATAAATAAGGTACCGTTTTTACCTTTGTTCGGTTGACTTTTAGCTTGCGTATATTGCCTAGTTCTCTTCTTTGAATCAAAAAAGCCCTCGGAAAAAGAACCCGATGAGAAGGAGAAGGGGCATGCGAAAGATCTTTTCATAGATCTAGCCTTCCTCAAGGTTGTTTTTAAAAAAAACGTGGATATTTTAAAAGAGGGCATAAAAACCTTTCGAAAAACGTATTTTCTGTCCCCCCCTGTATTTTCTGAACGCTTATCTTGCCCCCGAAAATTGATTTATACTACGAAATGCTTTTAATTTTGGCCACCTAATTTATTTTTATTCTAATTTAGTCCCTTTTATTTAATTTTTGATTTAATTATTTTTTTATCTATTTATTATTTAATCTAACAATTATATATATATATATATATATATATATATATATATATATTCTTTATTATTCATTTTATTTATTGTTTTTTTGCTCATTCTATTTTTATTTTTCTTTATATATATTTTTATCTAACATTTATATATATATATATATATATATATATTATTTATTTATTTTTTCTTTATTTTTTGTTTCTATTTTATATATATCTCTTTATTTATTACCATTTATTTTTCTTTTTTTGTTTCTTTTTTTTATTTCTTTAAATTTTTCTTTAATTTCCTTTTTTATTTAATTTTTAAATTATTTTCTTTTCTCTTTTTGGGTTTTATATTCTATTTCGTTTCATTTTTCATGTTAAACTCGTTCCTTTTTTATCTTTTAATTTTGTCCCTCTTTTCAACTTAGCTACATTTCTAGACCTGTTTTTCATTTTTATTTTAGGGTTTATTTGTTTTTCTTTATGTTTAAGGTACCATAATGTAATGTACATCTTCTTTTCTAATTTTTTCTGTTTTTTTTTTTACTTTATCAATTTAACATTCTTTTGATTTTTAAGGGTACTTAAATCCATCAGAGGTAAGTAATTTGGATTATATCTTACCTTTTAATTTAACTTGTCATTTTCTTAATTAAGATAACTGGAAATTAATTAGAGCCGAAAGGGCATTTCAAGGGTGCTAATCTTTCCTTAACTGTAACCGACTCCCGAATCTGACATATCTTTGGTAAGATGCAGATCATGTAAGAAATCGAGGTATCCGATCAACCTATTCTTTAAAATAAATGATCGGTGGCGACTCTAACCATTTCATTCAAGTCGAAGCCGAATTCCAGACCCACTCAAAAGACGGTTCCGACAATATGAATGTTTAGTTATACGCCGAGTACAAGCAATTACATGGCTAATTTCAATTTTAACCCATCTTAACATTGAATATTTAAAACTATATGGTTAGGGATGGGCATGGGACCCGAACCCGACTCGATTGGGTCGGTTTTTTTTAAAAACAATTCGGGTTCGGTTCGGGTCAGATTTTTTAAAGGTGATATTCGGGTCGTGTTCGGGTTTAGGGTGAAAATACCCTACCCGACACCCAAAAAATATAATTTTACCTTATATATATTTAGGAATAATTACAATAATATCTCTATATATATTATTTTTTAATTAAATCAATATTTTTATTGAATAGAAATAATATTTTTTATTATTTTGGGACGGATCGAGTTCAGATTTTATCTAAAAAATCAAGTCGGATAGATGGTATATATTTTTCGAGTTAGATTGGTTTAGTCAAAACCTGACTCATACTCATCCCTAATTTTGATTGCAACAAAGCGGATTAAGAAACTGTTAGCTGTTACTTATCACTAATCTTTTCAACAGAATACGGCCGCATGCCTCTTAATATAATATAATATAATATAATATAATATAATATAATATAATAGAATAGAATAGAATATAATTATTTTTAAAATTCATGCATAATCAACTACTGTCCAATGACTGCATTAATCAATTACAAAACCCCCACACATTTAACAAAAAAACAAAGCATCCATTCTTGTTTACAAGAACAAGAAACCGAAAACCCTATCAGACATGGTGGCAATGGTCTTAAAGGACTGGATGATGGAGCGGTCGGGGTTGGCCCATGGTTTGCCATCGTCCCAGAGAGGAAGTACAGAAG